TTTACAAGCACATAGATGTTTAACAACCCATTAAAATACACCAAAATGCAGGAGATCACATCTACTTTATTCAAAATTTTCTGAATTTTCAGAAAAAGCATGTTACATTGGTCTGAATGATGAGTTTAAGCTCCAGGCGCTGTCAACAACTCTGCTATGACATAAAAAAACAATTATGGATGGCCTTTGCAGGGTCTTGGCTCAGTCATGGGGAACTTTTTAAAAACACAGCGGGCTCCCCTCTACACATGATAAAACCTGTAGGTCAACAATGGTTTTAACACACACAAGTTGCCGTGGTTTGTCATTGTGGTGACAGCAGGTCATAATACATGTATATTATTTTGGTAGATGAAGATTTCTCCTCGTTGTTGGGAACTGATGGCAACAGAAGCTGCCGTGTTGAATTTTTTAAACCAGCACCTGCACACTAATCATACGGGACTTTACGAGTACTGAATTTTCAAAGCTTGCTTTGTTCCAGCCATGAGCATTATTAAAATATTAACATATTACATATCTTATTGTTCCATACTTTCCTAACAGAGCACGTTGCACTCCGACTGCAGGTTTACTTGTGGTTCCTAGAGTTTCCAAAAGCAGAATGGGAGGCAGAGCACCCATGGTCACAAAAGCATCACCGTCCATTGTGAAGGGGACTTTACCAAATATACAGTACTCAGTTGAAAACATTGCCTTTTTAATAGTCAAAACTGTTAACTATTAAAACTTTCTTTTAGTCAGCCTTTTACAGGAAGTGTAAAAGCCTCAGTGACTGGATTTGTTTTGACCTTTAAAGTCATTAATGATCTGCTTTTTTCTCTTTTGTCTCCACAGTGAACGAGATCATCAGGAACGACCTCTCCACCATTTCAGTGCACACTCATGCGTAGAAATCCAGATGTCCTCTGCTACAGCACACACACACCAGACACACACACACACACACACACACTCCAGCAGCAAGATCAACCCAACGAAGGACAAGAAATAGAAACGTTGAGGTCCAAATTATGAAGAAGAAAAACTTTGACCAGGATCTCCTACTTAACCATCATCTCTTCATTGCTCAGAAACTTGCTGCAGACTCTCTGACAACCACTGACAAGCTCAATTTGAATAAACACATTACATTTGGAAAAAGGGAAGTGATATCAGTGGCAAAGTATGTGACTGCACTTGCCTTAATTCTCAGCAGATGTTTTTTTAGTGGACCAAGCAGCTGAAAAAGACTGAATTAGTCTCCTACAAATGACAATCTTCATTTAAAGTATGACCGCTGCGTCAGTGCATGGACAAGCTAATGGGACAGTAAGTGTTGGGCTTCGTCCCTTCGGTGGGTTTGTTTGTGCAGGTGGTCCGCAACAACCAATCTGGTGCCTTACAGCAGAGATACTGACAGCACACGTGCAAGTGGTTCACCCAAACCCAAAGCAGAAGTTTTTATATGATGTTTTTGTATCATTTCAATGATTTGTTTACAGGGAAACTGATTCAAAACGATTGGAGGATTTGTTAGTTGTATGTGAATGCATGACAATTCTGTTTTACGTCCATATTATTAGTAATATTCATGTTTTTGTTCATTTATGTTGAATGTCATGTATGATATCATTTTGTATAAACTTTTCTGGTAAAATGTGTATGCCTTAAGCTCATATAAATGTCCCTATACAAACTTTCCACTTTTCCCTTTGCCTTGTGATGTACCATATATCCTGCCTTTTTATTTTCCTTTTCACCTTAGTGCCTGTTTTTTAATCACCTTTTCTCTGTCTTCCAGTCCTCAGCTCAGTTCTTGTCACAGTGATGCAAAGACAATCAGAAAACATAAAGTGCAAATCTTATGACAAAAGCTCCCGTTTTTGCAGGAGCTTTTTAAACGCAGGTGTTTTCTTGTTGACATGGATGAACAAATGCATGCCTGCCTGCTGAGTTGAAACGAGGATGCCGTTGGATATTTCTTGCACTGCAGGTTTGCCCCGTACATACGTAGACAAAGACATGTTGTAAATGTGCCACAGGCTCAGTTTTACATGTCGTCTCGGTGGTTTTAGTCAGGACCTGGCAGGACTGTTACTTCCTTACAAGTGGCAATAATTGATCTTGTAGCGAACCAAAGAATTTTTTCTTTGGTGAAATTATTGCCGTACTTTTCCTACTTCTGTGTGAGACTCTCAGCGTTGCATGGTTTCCCCGTCCATTAAACATTATGCACTTTACAGCAGAAACACAGCAGACTCTACTCGCCTCCTGACCAAATATTTTAGAACGATTTCCACTGTTACATACATTTACTCTTCTCATCTTAAGCTGCAACCTTTGTCTGTGTGATTTGTCTTATGGAGCATGCACATCATACTAACGCCGGGAATCATTTAACTGATCATGGCTTCTAGAGTAGCTTCTTTATATGTTTTTGGACATAATCTATAATAGCATGACTAAACTGTCTGAATAAAGATCCTCTTTTGTGCCTTACTTGCTTTTATGCTTCAAGCTGTTGCAGCTCTGTTATGCTTCTCTGTATAGGCGCGAGGTGAAACGTTTCTCTTTAATATGACATATTTATGATAAATAAAATTTGTCTAAAGTGGTTTTAAATGTGTTCTTGAAAAAGACTTAATAAATGGCATAATGATGAGCACAAAGGCGTGTTTGTGTTACATTAACATGAAAAGTGTTGTTATGTTTGTACTGTTGAAGGCCTCTGCATTGCATCTCTGCCTTCTGGGCAATGTTCCCTCTAATTTTTCATGAGCACACTGTGGACCAATGTGAGCAACACCAGATGTGCACGCTGTGGTCACACACCAGTATCACACCTGATCAAAACCTGGGATCATATCAAGTTACATGGCTTATTAAAATAATCAAATTATAGCAGCAATTTCCATTAGTTTACTTTTAATATAAGTGATCTGGCCCACTTCAAATGAAAAAAAGACAATAATCTTGTTCATGAGATGTGAATCCATTAAGATGTGGATTCAACCCAACCCTGGACCCCCCACTATTTATATGACACCAAAGAACTTTAAGAACGTGTCTGAGCTTCATTTTTTGCATGTAAACGCACGTAGCCTTCTGAGAAAACGTGATGCCTTGAAAATTCTGGTCAGTTCTTCTGGGCCAGATGTAATCTTCATCTCTGAAACCTGGCTCAACAAATCTGTACTCAATAATGACCTGGCAATCAATGGATTTAACATCTACCGCTGTGATCGTCAAAAAAAGCGCGGGGGGGGGGGAGGGGGGGTCGCTGTTTACATAAGAGATTCTTTGGTTGCTAGTCCTGTGTCTTCTAAAACAATTCCAAACCAGTTTGAAGCCTTAGCTGTAGACATCACCTTGAATGGTGGCCAGATCTTATCTGTAGTCTGCTGTTACCGCCCACCCTCAGCATCACCTGAGGCTCTGTCTGCACTGATGGAATTTCTTGGTAATTTAAAATTCAAAGAGATCATTTTGGCTGGAGACCTCAACATTGATTGGTGTAAGTCGACCCCCCGCTGTGATAAATTCAAGGAATGTTGCCTGTCTCTCAATCTTACCCAACTGATCAACTCTCCCACTAGATTAAACAAAAACCGTCCTGAAAAATCCTCCATTTTAGACCTATTTCTAACTAATATGCCTCACAAATTCCCTGGTACAGGTGTATTTGCCAATATCTTGAGTGATCATTGTGTGACAGCGGCTTTGAGAGATATTAAACTTCCACCCTCTAAGCCCAGATTAATTCAAAAAAGGGATCTGAAACATTTTTGTGAACAGTCATTCCTCTGGGATCTGTCTCACTTTGACTGGAATCGTATTCTGTTAACTGATGACGTGAACTCCGCTTGGAACTATTTCCATAATAATTTCATTTATTTCCTGAACATACATGCTCCTTTTCGTCAGTTCAGAATAAAGGGACGAGACAGCCCCTGGTTTACTCCAGAGCTAGCTGACCTCCTGCACAGGAGAGATCATCTTTGGGCCACAGCGAGAAAATCTGACTCAGAGATTGGTTGAGTTTTCGACAGATGAGGAATAAATGCACAACTGCTATCAAAGCAGCAAAATGCAACTATTTCTTATCTCAGACCTCCAAAAATCTAAATGACCCTAACAGATTCTGGAAAACCATCAAATCTCTCTCAGGCACCCCCAATCATCTGTCCTCCCATCACAACTTCTCGTTAATTCTGTTCCTGTGTCAAATAAGCACGAGATCCTGAACTGTTTCAACAAACATTTTGTTGCTTCTGGTTCTTTATTTGACACAGTTACTAATGGAAGATCAGCCACTTCACTTAATAACCAAACTTCTACAAATCAAATCCCTCCTACAAGTCAATCCTCAGTTAATCACACCTTCTCTTTTTCTCCATTCTCAGTCAGTGAGGTTAATAAACTGTTAAAATATCTTGACCCTAAAAAATCTGCAGGTCCAGATGAACTTCCACCTTATTTCTTAAGGCTGGCTGCTCATATCATCACAGTCCCTGTGACCCACATCTTCAATCTCTCCATAAGACCAAACTCCATCCCAGACACTTGGAAAACAGCCTTTGTTCTTCCTTTGCTGAAGGGAGGTGACCCCACCTCACTGAACAACTGTCGACCAATCTCTAAACTCTGTATTTTAGCCAAGGTTCTAGAAAAACTGATAAACTCTCAAATCAAAAATTACCTGGACTCATTTAACATCTTACCTCCACATCAATCTGGTTTCAGGAAACAACACAGCACAACCACTGCTTCACTGAAGGTTCTTAATGACATTGTTGAAGCACTGGATGCTAAGGATTATTGTGCTGCACTTTTCTTAGACCTGTCTAAAGCTTTTGACACTGTGGATCATAACATCTTGTGTCATAAACTCTCAGAAATTGGTTTCTCAGAACACACCATTGGTTGGTTCTCTAACTATCTTTCAGACCGGAGGCAATGTGTTCAACATAATGGTACTTCCTCCACTTATTTAACAGTCAACAATGGTGTACCACAAGGCTCAGTCTTAGGACCCACCCTCTTTACAATCTACATACATAATGTAGGTAAAAACATCCCTAATGCATCCATACATTTCTATGCTGATGACTCAGTTGTTTATTGTCGAGCTAAAGCTGTTGCTAAGGCTTTCCAGCTTTTGAAATCTGCATTCAACTACATCCAGACAGATTGGTTCAGCCTCAAACTTGTCCTAAATGCCGACAAAACCAAAGGGATGCTTTTTTCAAATAGGAAGTCGGTCCCAGCAGTTCTTCCTCCGATTTTATCCTTAAATGGTGTCCCCATTGAGTTTGTTGATTCCTATAAATATTTGGGTATCTTGGTCGACTCACATCTCTCTTTTAAGCTCCATGTGGAAAACTTGGTAAAGAAACTGAAAGTTAAACTGGGTTTCTTTTTCAGAAACAGATCCTGTCTAACCCTGAATGCTAGAAAACGCCTTGTATCTGTGACTTTCCTTCCCTCCATTGATTACAGTGACATTATTTACATGAACGCTTCTACAAGAACCCTGCAGATGTTGGATGCTGTCTATCATGGTGCACTAAGATTCATAACTGGCTGTGATTATCGTACCCACCACTGCACCCTGTATTCACTGGTTAACTGGACATCATTAACTTCACGCAGACTCTCTCACTGGTATATTTTCATCTTTAAATCACTTCTTGGTCTGCTGCCTTCATACATCTCCTCCTACATGTCTCTGCATGAGTGCAGCTACGGAGTGTGCTCTCAGGACATTATTACCTGCAGTGTTCCCTCAATGAGGACTGAACTAGGCAAAAGGGCCTTCTCCTACTCCGCTCCTGTTTCCTGGAATATCTTACAAAAAGATTTGAAGCTCTTGATCTTGACCTCTCTAAGTGGCTTTAAGAATCTGTTGGACTCCTGGCAGGGACCAATGCAGACATGTTCCTGTTTTTAGTTTTCTACATTCGCCTTAGACTCTAGCTGTTTTGTTGTTACCGTTTTTCTTTTAGCCATCCTATTTGTAAAAAAAAAAAAAAAACCTGCAGTATGACTTTTTATAATTGTTTATTGTTGTTGCTGTTGTCCGTTGTTGTCACCTTTCTTTGTTGAAATCAGGTCTCTCATGTAAATGAGTCCTCGAGGTTCAATGGGATTACCTGTCTAAATAAAGGTTGAATGAGTGTAGTATGTTAAATGGGAGAGTCCTGCTTTGGTCTGGGTGAGGGTCCAGTTGTGGTTTGGGCGAGGGTCTTGCTCTGAAAGATGGTTAGCAACACAGTGGCCATAGGTGTCAGAAGCATATTTTTAATGTGGGGGAACACACACTGGTAGGGGGTGTCCAGAAAATTTTGAATAATGTAGATGCTATTTCCTGCATTCTGTTGTATTTTAATGGTTGTTAAACATCTAGTTTTACCTACGTAAATAACACTTGATTCAATAACTATTTTAGAGTTAATGGCACAACAAGAAGTAGCCTGGCCAACAGCTCTCCTTGTGTGAATAGAGCACACTTCGCTTCT